TAATTCGGAAGACGGGGTTCTGGCGAGGCATTCCATTCGGGACATGGTCAGAGACTTCTGAATCGCAAAATGAATCCTTATCCAAGAAAAATGCAGTGTTCACGAGCATTTACCAAACACAGGATGATTTTGACAATGCTAAGCTAGAAGCGACCCAGATGCAGCCAGTGCCACACCCCCCACATTCTTCATTGCTGTTATTTCCATGCGTCAAGCCTATGTTGCGGACAATCCTACCAAAGGGGGTCCTATTTTGCCTGAGTTATGTAGGTGGTGTTAGTAGATACTCTACATTACTCAACGTGGTGGTACTGTTGGACCAGAGCGGTTACCGACTGGATCCCTTGGGACGTCAAACGAACACCCGGACGATCGCCGGCCCGATGGTCAGACTTCTTCACGAAAGCTCTGAACGAAAGGAATGAGAGGACATCGTGTCCCTCGAGCGAGGAGGGTCCAGTGGACAACTCTTGGCACGCGACAGGGACGAATGGAGACGTTGCTGGCGCCCGCTCGAGCAAATCGACGCTCAACGGGACAACAGGTGATATGTGATTTGGTGGGGGAGGTCGTACTCCTCTGGCCATGAATCACATGTTGATAACTGAAGCGTTGCGCGAACGGAGAACACGGATAATTGGCGTCTCCAGAATTAAATACTGGAAGGCGCGCAGGCAGTCGTAAAAAATTTCCGAAAGTACAAGTAGGGTCGACCCTTCCGTCCTGCTCATAGAGAAGGAGCGGACTTTAAGTTTTGTTCTTGATAAAACTTGTACCACATACTTGATGGAGACTTTACATCTCCACCGTCACTTACAAGCCTATAAACGCAAGTGCTCCCGACTTCGCCTATGAAGCTCAATTACAATGTTCTAGGCGGGTGAGGGATTATTGGGGACCGCTATCACCAAGTTTGACTGATCAAGTAACATGAAAAGGCAAACTCACTTCGGAAGAAGGATATGCTTCCACGAAGGCAGGTATGCGATTGGCTGTGAAAGCAATCGATGCGGTCTGCATTTGCCGACGCTAAGCACCTAAATCCGGCGATTATCTGACATGAAGCTCTACAAATTCTGAGCGAATGGACGTCGCCTCAGAAACGCAGCGCTTTCGTCAGGGGCGATAGGTAGGGGACTTCCCAAGACCCTTTACGTTTTTTCGGTTCTTAAATAAATAAAACCGAAGACGTGGTGGCGCAGGAAACTTAGGATTCTCTGCCAAACATCAGTGCCACTCAAGCAGTCTTTTTCCTTTTACTCATTGAATACTGAACTCTCGACTATGTGGAATTGCTCCTAAGCCCATAAGTAAGTAGTGAGTATAGATTGAATTTTTTATTAGGGTCTGTATGAGTATCAGGAGCAATTCCACATGGTCACCCATAAAATATGTACAAGGAGCCGTTTAAAACATTGGGCACGATAAACTAGATGTTGAAGAAAGAGCAAATCTGCTAACCATGAAGAGAGGCTGGCTCCTAATGAAATGATAGTACGTGGTGCGAAGCGTGCGCACAACCTTCTCTACCGTTCCTCAAAACCCCTTCGCGCCCCTGCCCGCCTCCTATAGCTGCTGCTCCTAGGTTGTCGGACTCCAGTCCTTTTAGCAGAGAGGCGGAGCAGAGCATTTATTTCCATGTCAGCAACGCCGTTTACCTGCCTAGCACTTGAAAAAAGGGGAAAACAAGGGTTCTGTTTTGCTCGCTGAGGCCGTTCCTCTTAGCTTTTCTGCACTACAGCCTCACATAAGTACTGCTTCTTTATGTTTCTAGCGGCGAACACTTGATCATACTATCTGGTTTTAAGTCTAGTTCCTACGAGGTGGAGGTTAGTTCCGGCCTAATTAGCTATAGGGGTTATCTCTAGCGAATTTTCATTTATTCAAGTAGGAGTGGCTTAGGTTTTATCTGCTGGAAGCAATTCCCTAGAGCCCTAATCAGCTGATTGTCCTTTCTAAATGAGAGTCCTTACTAGACCTTTGTAGCCAAACAAGCAGAAACCTGCAATAGCTGTGCCGTATCCAATCAGTAAACGACAGACTGTCTAAGAGAGGAACTCGGTCTTAATCGCTCTTAGAAGTCCAGTCGGAGCAGTCAATAAGCTGCACAAGGCTGCCTGCTTTCTAGTGTTCAAGCATGTGAAAAGTGCAAGCGCAATGACGACAGCACCAGAAGTAAAAAGTACATGAGCTGTTTTTATGACATGGGCTAACATCATTTATGATGGCGCGTTGACATGCACTTACTCGACAAGAAAAGCTCTTTCCTTCTTGGGAGTAGAAAAATACTCGTTGAGAGAGAAAGGTTATGGCAAGAGAACGCTAAATATATTCACAATGATCTCAAGCACCGTCAACGATATATTGAATTACCGGTTACGGGGCCGTTTTAAAGGCAGAATTTACGATGAAAAGTTAGCTCATTGGAAATAAGGGTAGAGGTGGTCAGTGGAGCAGGGATGAAGAAGAAACCATTTGAAACGGCCCGAAACCCGAGAAATGGGACCCTTCCTTGCCCGTTGATTTGCGCATTGATGCGACTCTCATCGCTGTGCCCTCTTCAACACTACGCTCTCTCTGCTATCTAATCACTCGCCACGTATAGACCTGCGGCGAGTGATTAGATGTCGGTGGGCGTGCCCTAAGAGCCATGATAGATTCGCCGAGGTCAAATCTTCGTATAGTCAATTGGAATCAACTTGTCGAGTCGCCTCAGAACCCTCAGAATTATCCACCTATCTCCCAACTATGTGATTTCCCTCTTCCAACTCGTTCTACGCGATATCAGGTCAAACCGCGTTTGGACAAATCCAACGAGGGGTGGGGGGGTCTATTTGAGCAGTGGAAAAAGAGGGGGTCGTTATTTGCGAGAGCGTCATGCAGAGTAAAAAGAGAGGGATGCCGCTCGACGGCATTTGGAGAATAAAGTGTGGCTGTGTCGAACTGCTCAGAATTGAAATACATTATGGAGCCGCCCCATGATGGCGATGGCAGGTGAGCTGTGTCGAGATGGCCGTCGAAGGTAACCCGAGGGGGGGGAGTTATTGAGGCGCCTTCTGGAAGGGGGGCGGTCGTTAAAAATTTTGAAATTGTCAACTATGGTTGACCCTGCTTGCCCGAATTCCTCCTTTGAAGGCACCAGTCAGGCTTAGGACCGAACCAATCCCTTTTGTCGCCTTTGTGCATGGCTACGCAACCACAGAGACGTTGCCGCGCTTAGAATCCCAAATAATAAAGCCCCAGGGGATGCATTGTTCGCTATCGCCTGGCGGCGCTATGCCGCCTACCTTTCGTAAGTAGGCGGGGCGTGGGCTAACTTGTGAAATCAGAGCTGCGGTGATTGTTGTGTTGCTGAAATTTGTTGAATTTGAGCCCAGATATGCAAACTGGAATTCAAGAGTCAAAAACGGCCATAGCTTTCCTTTCAATAGAGTATACAGGTTGAAATTTGGAGAGGATTCTCGAATTGTGGAGTAACATTTTTCGTCCACCATGTGACATCAGTGGCAGAAAGACTGCGATTGTCCGATTGCATGCAGAATTTCAATAGGGTTTTTGCTATGGAGGACGAACATGTGATGGACGATCCATTACTGTAGGAGTTACCTGTAATGGGACGGGTTTCCGCATCAGTCAGAACACGCTTTCAATCCTAGATGGTTACTTTGGAATTCTGTTCAACTACGAACCTAATTGTGGCTAATTTCCTCCTACAAATTGCTGGATCAGAGAGGTATTACTTAGTGAGTCGATCACTGCGTAGGCCCCTGCCACACGTGCGAATCATGTTGCTACATAGCGGGGTACGTCAGTTGCCCAACGTTCAAACGGGGGGGGGATCTACCAACGGCTCGCAGTGTTTGGAGTTAAAAGACCTTCTTGTTAGTAGAATATGATGGTGTTATCACAACAATAATATCATGAAATGTTGTACTGCAAGGCCGGGTGGTTTCTTGGTATTGGTGGCGGTTGGTTTCCCCGTCAAGCTTCTTAGCACATTTTCTTGGGTGTATGTCACAGAATCGTCCGGACCCGATCCTGCTACTGGTCTGTGGACATCAAATAACATTGAACTGCAATCAACGCCTGATAGGTTTCACTTGTCCATTCATTTCTTTCCATATTTCAACATGAATAGACTCGAAAATACAATTGTCCATCCTTATTTTCTATGCACGAACCGCAGGAGGTACGTTGGAAGTTGCATATTCCGCCGACCCATCATGGATTATTGTGGGACTGAAGAAAGAATCACTATTACAGTCGAGGAAATTCCACCATAAAACTCTGTGTAGTGAGAAGTGTCGAGAGTGGTACGCGCGAGAGCACACACGTGCTTGGCAGGCGAGTTGAATACTGCGCAGATGAGAGCCGAAATGAACGGACGAGCTCCGACGAATCTTCGACAAAATCCGCGACAATTTCACCCTGGCTCCAACGTCAATTCGAGAATCCCCTACAACTTTTATTTTTGAGAGCACTTGGCGTAGCACAGCATTACACAAGACCGTATAACAATCCATTACAAAGTATTTTAGTAGACGAAACATAGTATTCCGGAACCGTTCACCCATCAATACCTCATGGACTCATCCTATCGGTCAAAATACTAAGGTGCAGACAGCATCGAGGAAGAATTCTGGGGAAAAATTCAGCATCATGTACAGCAGAGGTGCTATGAGGAGGAGCTATCCATAGCGCCACATTTATTCAAGAAACGCAAATAAGCAATAATCTAAAACATTTATATCCTAAATACATATACACATAGATGCTATAAAATCTTGATTGGCAGTAAAAATCGGTTATGGTGAGATGAACGAAAACGATTTAGATGAAATCTGAAAACATTCCTACCAACTAATGAGGTGAATGTGAACGGAATAGACTCTGATGGTTTGTACGTGATTTAGTTTAGGCAGTACGATAGATGGCGGTGCAGTGTGCAGATTCAGATGAGGTGGCCAATTTAGAAAATCTGAGCAAGATTTACGATTGGATTAACTCTCAAACACTTCGCGAAGCTCTTCCTCCTCAAGTTTGCGTAGAGCTGGTAGACGTCTGTAAAAAAGGATCGGATTAGTGCTAAATGAAGGTAAAGTTGTGAAAGGAGCAGTGGTGAAGAAGAAAGAGGGAAAACGCCCTAAACATACGAGTATGGACCCTTTTCTCCTCGATCCTTGCGCGCTCGACGAGATTCTACGATAGATGACGTCATCAATGTGATCGCCTTTCTCTGACGGTCGACGGACTACTTTAACTCGGTTCCTTAAGCCGCCACAATTTGATGCTCCCGCCTAAGCTCTCTCGCTTGAACAGCGGCTTGTGGCTGATCCCACAGATGCGAACTTTGCCATACGGTAAGCCTCTTCTCAAAAATGGTCATTCTTGCCATCTGTTTAATTCCTCACCCCAGAGTCCCCCTCCCTCTAAAGCTTAGTCCTAGGGCCCACCTTCCACCTTGGGTTTGAGACCGAGCCAGGCGCCGCGTTCTAATCGTCTGTTCTCTCGCCTTTTGTGGCAGGACTATAGAAGAAAGTTCAAGGACCGGTGTACCTTCTTTGACCATATGTTCTCGCCACAGTCGGAAACCCCTCACCACCAACCAATCATAGGTCGGATTGACGACATGAGGGCGGAGCTGTCCCGGAGGCGGTCCTGCCCTGGGTAAAGGCTTGCTGGTTAGCTGCAAAAGCGCAACGTCTCGATCCTATGTTTTTAGGGGTCAAACCTCCCGTATCTCCTCTGGTTCACCGAACTGCTTATCGTACCATCTGGTTGTAAACGCTAGAAATAGAGTGAATTCTGGAAGAGGTCAACACTCACGGCGGATACTTTGATACTTCAACGCTTCCATTCAAATCCTCGTCCACCTCCGTGACTTTATCTTCAAACACAGTACGGGAAACCTCCTCTATCTGAAATCTTTCACGATTAATGCCTCTCTAAGAAATTTACATCAATATGTACCTCTTCTTCTTTGACAAATTTCGTTGGTCCGATGATGCCGCTCCGTTCGATTTCAAACTGTCTTCGTTCTAAAAGTCAAAAGTCATAGGAAGAAAATAATCAAAAAAATGAACTGTGAGCTTGAGCTTCACTGGCTCACATTCAGAACAGTAGAGGTTTATACAATGATCTGTGAAGACAGCTTGAAGCTGTTTTCTCCTTCAATACGTGTCTACTTGTGCATCACCTTGCTGATGGCATACTTGGTTAATCTATCAAGCGCGAGCGTGATGCGACAGCTGTGACTGCATCTTCGAAAGCTTCTTCAAAGTCATGGGGTGGGATCGTGGCAAGACTTAGTCCTCCATACAGTAAGAAAGAGGGTTTAGCAAGCCCGGAAACCGCC